AGGAGGATGAAATCCTGAGAGCTCAATGTGGTAAACCGAATTGGTAATTCCAAGGATGGTAAACCAAATTGGTAATTCCAAGGATGGTAAACCGAATTGGTAATTCCAAGGATGGTAAACCGAAAAGGATTTTGGTGAAATAAATTATTGTTATGGTACCTTAAAGTGTCTGTTTTCATTAAATATATATATGTGTGTGTGTGTGTGTGTGTGTGTGTGTGTGTGTGTGTGTGTGTGTGTGTGTGTGTGTGATCTCGGTGGTATAATGAAATGCTAAATTGAATTACCTGCAAATATGCTTGGCAACAGTATGAATCCATCTTTTCCTGTCCCATGCTTTGGGCTAAATAATAGATAAAACTGGAGTATTTAGCTTTCGTTGTCAACCAGTCCAGCAGAGGGGACAATGACTTTAAAAGATGAGGATAGTCGTTTGCCAATTGTATGACATACTATGTACAACAAGGCCATTCAGACCTCAGTCCTTCAAAAAATGTTTTTTAGTTTCTGCTTGAGCATTCGCCAGTAGGATCAAAACATATATGCGTATAGTTTGAGTTGCTCTTAAGTAAAGGATGAGTCCCTACAAAATTTCTTTGAATATATTCAGTTTTAAACCCCGACAATTAACAATTCCCAACCCCCTCTCATTTTTTCTCTTTTTATTTCTCTTCTTTTCTTCCTTTTTCATCTCTTTTACATTTGCTTTCTTTCCTTTTTCTCTTTCTTCTCTTCCTTTGTTGAAGATACATTCTCTCTCCCGCTACAACTCACATACGGTAAAATTAGGTCAACCTCTCTGCTCATGTGTGTGTGTGTGTGTGTGTGTGTGTGTGTGAATATGATAAAAATATAGTTTTAAGGTATACTATATTTATAAATTAAAGTGCTCAATATCAGGGATAGAGCGTATGTAAATATAAAAGTGGTCATTGAGGTCAGCAGTCTGTTTCAGGCTTAAACGCAATCTTTGGCTTGAAAATCGTGTTTAAGCATGAAACAGACTTTCAAATGAAGAAGAAGAATGTACATACATACATATATATATATATATATATATATATATATATATATATATAACGAGAGAGGAAAAGAATATAGTGGTAGAAAAACAATCAGTCAGTCAGTTCATTATGTGCGATGCGTAATACTGGCTTAGGCGATCATGTATCTTTCGATACATGACTGACGAGGCAGATTATTCCCATAGTAGTTTCCTATTTCTTTCTGCGGTAGACCAGTTGTCATCGAAGGCTATAGAACCCGGTCTGTCCTGCTATTTATCCATAGCTGGAGTGGGGTAGAAGACGACGACCCGTGCCTTTCCCAAGGGTATTAGCACCTAAGTGAATGTAATGGATTCGACTGGAACGGAGGGGCAACTGAGGAAAATAATACTGAAGAGGTGCCCAGCCCTGGGGAACAGCTGCCCGAGGCCGCGCCCTCCCATTGCACAAGAGGGAGGGATCGGTGCTCGCACCGAGGCCAGCGCAACCGACGGTTGCGGGGGATTAGGGGAATTTTTGTCCCTACCCTGGTGTACGCGCTCGGGTGCCCACATTAAACCGACCTTGTGTAATATCTTGTTCTAGTGGGGGAACGAGTAAATACCAGCGCGCAAATTACTCTCTTTTAGTAATTTCCCGTCTACTTATCATCTCTCAGTTGCGTCTCTGTCCTTGGACAGAGTGCGATCAGGGGCGACTCCGTCAAAGGACAGAGTCGCAACTGAGGAAAATTATACTGAGAGGTGCCTGGCCCTGGGGAACAGTTACCCGAGGCCGCGCCCTCCTATTGCACCAGAGGATCGATACTCGCACCGAGGCCAGCGCAACCAACAAGTTGCCGGGGCTTAGGGGAATTTTTATTCCTTTCCCTGGTATGCGCGCTCTCTCCCCACCTCGTCCTAATGTTGGAGGGACAGAGTAAATACCGCGCGTAAATTGCTATGAAGTAAAGCTGGAGCTTTTTAATCTCAGAATTCTTGGGTGAATTGGGCTCCAATTTCGCATTGACTCTAAAAGATTCCACATTATAGGTTTTACTTAATTAGCTATTATACTTCTCTAACTTTTCAAATTTTGAATGTATAATTAATTTCTATTTTCCCATCTTTACGCTATATTAATTTTATTTTATAAATTATCCCCTGTTCTGTCACCCATTAAATAAAAATAATTGTTTGTAGTGAGGAGTTACGTGCATGAAATTGCCATTAAATTAAGTGGCAGCAGAAGAATTATCGTTGAACTTTTAAAAGGTAAGCTTAAACATTAATTCAATATTTAGATGCAGCAATCAATTTTGAGTTCCTCTGTAGTTTATTGATGCCTATCACATCTACTCATCCCCAGCTATTGTGATGATGGCTAAACCAAGATCGAGTGGCTTTTTATAATAAAACGTGCACTGCAATTTGGGATATAAAAGGAAAATAAGAGTTACTCTCTTTGAACCATGAAAGCAACGATAATGGCTAGTATAATATATTAATATATATTTTCAACGTCGCATAATCTGACAACCCTGAATCTGAGCTAAACGAAAATCGTTCTCTGCGCCTAACTTTTCTAGAGATTTTAAATTAGCTATGAATCATTGAAATCGGACCAGTGGGAGCGGTGGAGTTGTTGGACACATACACGCACAAAACACACACACATACTTTATACATATATATATATATATATATATATATATATATATATATATATATATATATATATATTTGGTTGGATAGATGTGAGTTTGTGACCCTGGGTTTCACGCTTTAGCGATCGTCAGACAAACTGATTAATTTTTTAAAAAATTTGGGTTTATGTAGATTGCGTGTATTGGTGTTATTGTGGAAGTGGTGGGGGAAACTTCATCGCTTATGTCATCGTACTAACGCAAACATCGATGTATGCAGACACATATACATACTTGGTCGTCCGTCGGGACTCATACATATATAAACATATGTGGGCAGTTTCAGATATGACATACGTATGTATACGGGTGGTGTTGTGTACGCATTTGTATGTTGAAATTTAAAGATTGGAAGTATGGCGGAAATGTCTCGTGAATGTCTCGTGAATGTATACATTAAAACATTAATCAGTTTGTCTGACGATCGCTAAAGCGTGAAACCCAGGGTCACAAACTCACATCTACCCAACCAAATATGTTAGCTCTATCTCTGATATTGAGCGCTTTCTAATAAGTACCGCGCATATAATATATAAATAATTATACATATATACATTTATTTATATTTATATACACTTTTTATATATATATATATATATATATATATATATATATATATATATATATACTAATGACACTAATGCTTTATATACTAATGACACTAATGCTTAAATGGTAAATATTTATACATACATATGCTCACATATGCATAAACATACACACAGATATGCACACATGCATATATATACATATCTATATATATTTGATTTTTTAAAAGGGTTTGGCGATAAAAGTGTTAATTATAGGAGATTCATAACTAAATTTACTATTTTTATAATTAGTGCATACATCTGTAATTATACTCTTGTGTATATGCACACGTACACATCTACTCGCGCGCGTATTTA